ACAGAAAGAAATCTTTCTTCGTTTGTTCTCACGAATATTAAATAAGTAGATGAAGGCAATCATTAGTCAGAAAAATTTTACTACTCTCATTCTCTTTCTCATTCTTACTAATAATTGAAAATAAATTATATATGAACAAATTATCTTTCTCGTGAATAAGTTTTGTGTAAAAAGAATTTATTTTATCTACCTTTACAGAAAGAAATCTTTCTTCGTTTGTTCTCACGAATATTAAATAAGTAGATGAATACAATCATTGATCAGACAAATTTTATTTCTCTCGTTCTCTTTCTCATTCTTACTAATAATTAAAAATAAATGATATATGAATAAATTATCTTTCTCGTGAATAAAGTTTTGTGTAAAAAGAATTTATTTTATCTACCTTTACAGAAAGAAATCTTTCTTCGTTTGTTCTCACGAATATTAAATAAGTAGATGAAGATAATCATTGGTCAGACAAATTTTATTTCTCTCGTTCTCTTTCTCATTCTTACTAATAATGAAAAATAAATTATATATGAATAAATTATCTTTCTCGTGAATAAAGTTTTGTGTAAAAAGAATTTATTTTATCTACCTTTACAACAGAAATTACTAATATTTTTAATACCGTCTGTTTAGAGATATTTTATTTTATTCTATCCCGTGCAAATTTTTTACTTGCTCCATATTCTAAAAAATTATACATTGAAAGAGAGATATGAATACACGAGCAGCTTACAACGGCTAGAATGTAACTGCGATAGTTTTTTGCTACACATACTTCTGTACGCGAACATCCTACTCAATTTTCCATAACGACTAAAAGATTGCGAGGTTTCGTCCGTAAAATCCCTCTCAGGTGGCAGACGCGAATCTCGATAGCCGAAAGTTTATCGTTGCTTGCGGGAAACGTCGCTCATCGATCATTCTCGATGCAGGATAGGAGTAGGATGGATTTATACGGGACTATACATCGCGTCGCCGTTTTTCATCGGCAACGTCCCCGTGTCCGGAAAGGAGGAGGACCGCCGCGCCATGATATTCTATATTCTCTCGTTTGTGAGTGAAATTAACGGTATGAGATGAAGCGACGCTATATTATGAAACAGTTGTCCGCCGTTTTGGCATACGCGCTCTCTCGTAAATTCCCGACTAACCCTTCAACCGGCTGTCGTTTCAATGCGGCTTTATACCACAACCGTCCCCGAAAATCGCGTTAAATGTCACAGCCCAAATACCGAGCCTTCATCATTGCTAAATAATACACGCAGCGAATGTGCAATGAACATTTTAAAGAATGACCTGCTATTTTTTTTTATAGTTTAATTTGAAATAATTATTTTATAGCTCAATATATCAAAAAAGTATGTTAAAATGAGACCAATTTCTACCTAAAAGGGTGTAAGCAAAAGGAATAGTATTTTTTGTATAGTTTTACCTTCTGAATACGATAAAGTTATTAAAAAATTCGTTGCGTTTAGGAAACATCTCAAAAATTAAGCAAGAATATCAAAATTTGGATAAATACAACATGTTTGTGTTCAATTTTCCAAATATTCCCCAAATGTTATTTGAACTTTTTAAAAATTTCATCACATCCAACACTATTTCTTTTACTTATTGCCTTTTTAGGCAAAAGTAGATCCCTTTTTACACCTTTTGTTTTATTTTTAATCTATTTTTAAATCGCCATTACATATTCTTTTTGTTTTTACACATTTTCTATTTACGTCAAGAGTGTTTAAGTAAAGTAAAAAATAATATAGTACACCGGGATGTGGGGAGGAGATTCAACTAGCTGCGCGCGACAACAAAGTAATTATACATGTCGCCTTTAATTTTCGCGAATGAAAACATGACTGCAAATTCCGGTGGAAAATGCCAACGTTATGGGTTTTCCGAGGATGGATGTAATGTGTACACGTCTAACAGGTTATTTTCTTACCTCGAGCGTGTTCATCGTCGTAGAAGCTGCCTCGGCTTGCAAACTGCTCTTGCAAATGTGCAAACTACTTTCGTTTCACGACGCGAGAGAGAGAGACGAGACCAGACGAGACGATAAGCACTGCCGCATCGACGAGTTTGTCGGGCGAGTTTCAGCAACTTTACAACACCATTTACTAGCGCGTTTCATGCCTTACTTGGGTATTGATCCAAATTTTGCGGCCGCCATATACTCATTCAAAATTCCATCCAACACCCGGAGTGAAATTTGTATCCGACGCCGTGAGGTGACAAAAATATACCATCCAATTGTATTCACGTGTATTCCTTTACATTATGTAAATTCATTTATTTTAAACACGTTAACCTCTAGATCTAAAATAATCAATAGCCAGATTAGAAAGATCGAATAGATAAAAAAAAGTGTACAATTCAGTATACAAATTTTCATATTCTGAATACCTTGATTTTTTCAATCTGGACATTTTTATCAGTATGAATTTCTATCAGTATGAATTTTAGAATTTCCGTAAAATTGGACGTCAAAATTTTGAAGTTTGTGAAATTGATAGAACTTTTTTATTTTTGCAGACTTTGATGTCACAAGTTTTTAGATCCACTGATTTTTGACACATCATTTCCTTACGTCAATTGTAACACAACTAAAAAATATGATTTTCGAATTATTATCATGAATGAATTAAGTAAACATTACTCTATTAATAATTAAAAATGAAATTCATTTTCATTAAAAAGTTATTGAAATTGTCACAACTAAAAAAGGGCGATTTTTTTAACTCTCCATCTGCAACCTGTTTTTTTTTTACCGTCCTAGACTTTCAAAATGTGGAAAAATTCAGCGGTTTTTCAACATTATCAAATAGTTTTTAACAAAATATTTTTTAGGAATTCCGCTCTCTTCGGAGAAATTTGAAATTCGCTTGTTTCGAGAGAGACTCAGATTGAAAGGAGAGTTAAGGGTTGTAAAACGACAATGATCAAAATGATATTAAAAACACAAGAATACATTCTTTCTTTTAAGAACATATTCTTTTCGCCAATAATATTTTTAATTGAGTCAATAATTTTTCGTCAAATCGAAAAATAGTTATTATTCCCCTTTTCTAAGAAACATAATTTTTTTCAATCATCGATTTTGAAGCGAATGATATTAAAAATCTAAAATCTTCCCATTTTTATTTTGTAATTTAGAAATTTTCGTAAGATTTTTTTACTTCTCAAACCAGGATTTTCTCTAGAACGATGTTCTCATCGATTTGTAACGCAAATAGCAAATTCTTGAGTTCTCGATTTCCCAAAGCTTCCTTCTTACTTTGAAAAACCAACGTGGAAAATTAAAGGACGTGACGACACATCGCTTCCAACGAGCCACTCTCGATTCTCACGAGACCTCACGTCGAGTGTTATCGACTGACGTCGAACGGAATTCGCACCTTCCGGGAACACGTGTGGTGGATATACACGTGCGTGGGCTGCAATCCTGCAACCAGAGGATGTCCACCTCCTCATCTTCTTTCCTCTTGCTTCCCCCCTTACAGTCATCCGATGGACGTTATGACCCACGCTCGATCAAGGCGAATGCGACAGCCGGAGAAGCAGAACACGAGCTGACCATTATGGGCGACAGGGACTGAAAGCGGAAGCGTATTTCAAGGAAGATTCATGTCTACGGGGTGACCCGTAAGCTCCGCGTCAAACTTTAACGATGAGCACAATGAATTATGGAATGTATTGTCTCGCGGAAGCTCCGTGCTAACTTTCAAAATAATGTGCTCGAGCAGACGTATAAGGATGAGACTCGACGATCGTCTCCGCAAATCTAAATTATTAATAAATGATTTACAGGAAATAACGAGGAGTTGTCACAGAGGAGTGCTGACAATCCATTTATTTACTGGCACTACGCCCTATAAGAGTAATTTCAGCGAAATTGCGAAAACAGTAAAAGTGATTAATAAAAATTGATTTTCATCTTTTCCTGCGAATAAAACAAACAAATACATACATTATTTCATTAATATCTTATCCTTTCTGTAAAAATCTGTAAATAATAAAAATCGTAATTTATTTAATATACTGTTGATTCTTTGCTTAATTAAGCATAGTGAATTATGAAACAATCCCTTTGATGTAATAATATTTTATTACAGTTTTGTTGATAGAAAAAAATTGGGACTTATAAAAATTAAACATTAATTGTTAGTTCGAAAATATAGAAATGATTTACATTGATTCATTCTCTACATTTCTCTAAAATGTAACTCATTAATATATAATGTATAAAATAACAAAACTCAAGAAAAGAATTTATCAATTTATTTACAATCAATGCGCAGTAATATGTGAATTATTTTCATCATTTTCTTCCTCTTTTTATTTTTGCTAATAAAAATTAATTTCTAGAATTAAAAAAAAATTAAATACATTTTGCATCATTCATTCTACAAATTTCTATTCATAGCTTCGTAAATAATTAAATAGACGAGCCGTTCATTAATCTTCTTGATTCTGCTTAGGAACCTAATTAAAGAGTTATAAGGTAGGAAACTAATAACATGAGATGCAACGGCTTTATTGCAGCTGGCAGAGTATTCCGCTAATTAAATAGACACACAAAAGGAAACCAAATATAAAAAAGAAACGCGAGAACATTAATAAAAAGTGACGACGAGCGTATTGCAATGCCATCGCGATGGCGAATAATGGATGACAGGACGACAGGCTGACGCATATTTCCGGCGTTCAATCTTCAGTATACTCAAAGGGCTCGGGTGGCTCAGCTTCCTTCTCTTCCTCCGGCTTCGGTCCAAAGGCTGAAACAAACCGGAAGTGCTCAAGCGCACACCCTACAAGCACGTACTCAATACTTCAAAATATAAACGAAAATCCTGGCCCGTTCATTTACATGAGTATATAATTTCATTTGTGTAAATAAAAATGTATAACTTTATTTGTGTAAAATTTATCTTTTCTATCTGAAAATCTGAACATTATTAAAAACATATTATAGATCATTCTTGTAGACGCAAAATCTCTTAAATTAATTAAGAACATTTGAATAAAAGATAAATAAAGTTTAATAATTAAACTTTCTTTCTTTAGTTTTGAAATCTGATAATTAATATATAAATATTTATATCAAGGCGCTCCTCGCTCTAATAAAATAAACGGCAAGGTTGACGAAACGTTAGCATTAACAATAGATCACGACGATAATCCGCAAACTCTTTGACATCTCTGAAGAAAATACCCGCGAAAGCCTCAAAAGTATTATCAAAAAATTAATAAATATTTCGACTATACCTACTATAAAATATTATTAAATAATTAACAGTAACAATTTCAAAGACTCTCAATCTTTAATAATCATATGAATAGAATTATATAGTTCAAAAATTGTTGTTTCACTCTCGTGAAATTTTCGATTCAATTATTCTTATTGTACGTAAAATATAAATTAAAATTACCTTTTCTTTACAATCGATTTCTGAAAGTTTTGAGCAGAAAATAAAGGATCAATCACTCACCAGCGACAGGCTCGACGAGTTCTTCCTCGGTGTCCGTCTGCATGTGCTTAACCATGACAATGCCACCGATCTGAATATCTTTAACGGGAGTGTAATGGCTACCCTCGACCAACTGAATGACCTTCAATTGCTGACGTAGAACTCGCGCAGGATTCTGGAGGACTTCGAAACTCGGCTCGGGCTCCTTCTTCTCCTTTTCATCGCCGTCTTTCACTACCTTTTTCTCGGGCTTCTCCTTGGTTTCCTTAGCCTCTTTCTCATCCTTCTTCTTCTCATCCTTTTCTTTCGAAGACGATGCAGCTTCCTTTACCTCTTGAAGCTCCTTCGTCTCCGAAGGCGGATCCTACAATTTTTATTTAGTTCGTTTTCTCTTATGTGGCCGAGTGCTGAAATTTATTAGCGTACTCTTTTATTCGTCATAAATTTATAATATATATCATCACGTATTAATATCCTAAGTCAGAGAAAACTTTATAGATTATTAATATTTTTACCACCAATCTGATTCTTTCTTTGATAAGAGAAACGCATAAATCTTTAATTAAAAAAAGATTTTATTCTCGTTTACTGAATATATACTATACAACGTAAACAAATGCACAAAACAAAAAAAAATACACAAAAATATATATAAAATTCGAATCAATCCATTTATAAACGAGAGTTTAATAATAAAAAGATATATATGATTCATAAATTCGATGAGTTAAACATTCGAAAATTTAAAGAATTGAAAATATCAAAAATTTCTGCGTGTAAAAATTTCAAAACGTAAGAGTTCAAGATATCTCGTTAAAGTACATATAATAATTACGCTTAAAAAAACGCTTATATCAGTCTCATAATTATTCCCGCCATTTTTTTTTTTCATTAATTTTGATTTAGACAAAATTACAAGAGAACATTCTTCCTGAAATGTCCAGACATTTCCTTTAATTACTTACCACTTCCATCTTCTCATGAGAATCTCTGGCTTTTCTTTCAGTCTCGCGTCTCCTGGCACGAGCCGCAATACTAAGGACAGCGGTGGTGACTTTCTCTCGTTCCTCTCTCTTTTTCTCTTCAAGAGGCGCAGGATAAGCATATATGCTTGGCCTAGCGTTTGATTTGATCTCCAATTTAGGCATCTTTAGCTGAGCGTTCAAGGCGATCAGACACGTGGGCGTGAAAGCCAGAGCCAAGCAATGCGCAAGTGGAAACCAGTACCAATACTGAGTGAATACCAGGGCACCGACCACCGCCAACATGTTCGTGTGCCCCGTACGCGATTGTAGAGATACGGTTACATTACGACCACCTAAGAAAAAGCGAAAGTCCTCGCGTAATATTTCACAATTGATCTTCTCATTGACTTTATTTCTCGTTCTAATATTCGCGAAATTTTTAGGGCTTCAAGAAATTTAGAATAATAAGACCTTGTGTTAAAGATAAAAAATTAAATGCTTCAAAATTAGTAAGAATGTAAGTTTAATGACGGATGAAGTGATGAAAATTCTAAGTCCTAAAAATTAAGGAATTCAAAAGCACATGTCCTGTATAAATACAGGAAAAGTTCAAAAAATAAATTTCATACTGCTAAAATTTTGTTTTCTATGAATCAGAATCTATAATTCGACGATTTATTAAAGTCCATGAATAAAGTTGATCCCTGCGTTGCAATAATAAAATTAATAAAATACAGGGAATCCAATGGTTCACAGTTTTTATGCTCAGGAAAGAAATAATAATTTCAAATTTGTTGTGGAATATTTATATAATTAAAATTGAAATCACAGATTCTGTGAGTGTCACATGCAAGAAACTCTAGAGAAACTTACCGGCATCGATGATCCCTTGCGCCAAAATTGCTCCAAACTTAGCCATCACATCCTCGTGTTTATCCACAACAACTTTAGCATATAATGCTCTAAAATCTTTAACGCGGGCACACGTGGATTCCGTCTGCTGGATCAGAATCATGGCAGAAGCGATCAGTGCGCCTTGCCTGACGAAATTCACAGGATCATTAGTCATTGGATCCAACAGAGCGATAGCTTCCTTCAAGCCGGTACCCGCGCAAGCAATACCTAAGGCCATCGCTGCGCCATACCTTACATGAGGATTATAGCTCTCCGCTAAGAGAGACACTACACTAGGACATTGCTCCGGAGTCCTGGAACACATGAAAAAAAAAAAACGTGTTAAATTTCAAACTTATTGACTTATGTCTCACATTCAATATTAATAATCTCGTAATAACTTATTATACTTTTTATATCTTTCATGTTTATCATTGACATATTATAATTTAAATTAATATTATGTATAATATATTAATTAATTTCTTTTTCCAATTTTCTATTTTCCTTTCAATCTTAGTTTTATATTTTATATTTTTTTAAATTTAAGATAATCAGTCAAAGCTTATATTTATTTTATAAATACATATATAACTGTAATTACAATTCTTTTTGAACAAACAAGTTTTATACTTAACCATCTTATTTATTAATAATTTAAACTGTTAAATAAATTATAATAAAAAGTTCATCATCTTTCACTGAGAGAACTTTGTAATATTAAATTGAATAAACCATTAATTCTTTTATATATTTTATCAATAAAATGATGTGTTACAGCACGGTATTTAGAAGGTTATGGTATTTAAATGAATATAGGTTCATAAATTTTAATTACGTGATAATTAATTGATAATAATTTGTTATTAATTTAATAGCATCGCCACGCGTCTGGCACACTTGAATATTCACACGAGTTAATATCGAACAATAATTAACAGATCCCTCATTTTCTCATTCTGTTTCAGGAAGATGATTCGGTATTGGTGGACGGAGCCTGCCAGATTCCCGATCCCCTCTATAAATTAATTGGCAGTATAATCTGCTTCTATATCCCGCTAGTAGTGATGTTGTTAACGTATGCGTTGACAGTAAGATTATTGGCGGAACAGCAACAAAATATCGGAGGAACTGGAGCAGGTTGGTCATCAGGGTGGTTAGGAGCACCTCAAGGTGCCTCTCAAGGTTCATCCATGACAGGTTGGTGTACTGTGCACTATAAACTTGTTCTCACATTAATTTCCGAAATCTTAATATCAATTATTATCTCTCTAGGAATCAAAATAATCGAATATATCTTGGTATAAATTACTTTTTCCCTATATTTGAGTCCATTTCACTGTAATGTTATTGTAGAAATATATAAATTAAACTTAAACTAAACTTTAAAATTTATTTTTAAATGTGTGTATATTTATACAATACAACAGAGCATTTAGAATAAATATTTAATTTAATTTAATTGTTCTAATTAATATATAAAAAGAATTTATTTAATTAAAGATTCATAGAATAAAAATTCTTCAAGTGTTTTCCAACTCGAATTTTTAAGATTAAAAAGTACGATCAAGCTTGCCTAAACAAATTTCTATAATAGAAGCACTTTTAGAATCGTTATAAAATTTAACAAGTGGTTAAAAAGTATTTTTCTTTCTTCTACACTTTTATTATTTCATGGACCACTCCTGCAACTTCATGCTTTCTTCCCATCAATTTGCCAGCGGAGAAAATAAAACAATTATTATTATTTCAAATGTTACCTTATTCTTATCAATTTTCTATTTTTAGCAAAAAAATTTTATCTTAAAAGAAAATCATAAAAATAAATAAAGCAATATAAATTATTAAAAAATAAATTAAAATAATAAAAAAAATACAGAATATAATACAATACGGCAATATATCCCTTTCACCAATTTTTTCTTCTGCATAACAATATACCGTTTTTTTCCCCGAGGATACATTTTATTCGAAAACGAACGAGGCCGTCGGGTGAAGGAAACTAAGACTTCCCACCTGATAAAAATTATTTATTCCGATTTATCGGTCGGCTTCCGAGGATTACAAAGGATATCGCGTCTGCAGGCGTCTCATAAACGTTTTTCGAGACCGCTGGCGTGAATTCATTCCCCTCAGACAAAGCGTTCCCGAGGGAGATAACCTTCAACGTCCCTCTTTCTCTTTCGCGACAGAAAGTTTCGCTGGAAGCCACATCGTCTATTGTCGCTTTGATTTTACCTGGACAACCCTCCGATTACTGCCTCAAATGGAATTTGCATACCAACTTCATGCCGGAATTCATCACGCTATTTTACACGCCGCGTTGCACAATTATTGCATTTTAAAATGCATTCTTAATGAAGTTTTTGACCAACTTTGAGGGAAATGAGAGTCGCCGAACGCCTCATACATATCGTAGAATTAAAAAAATGTAAACGAAGTGTATAAGTAGATTATGAGAAATTTGATTTCTTAAACTTTTACATGTTTTCCAGATAATTATCTGTAACTTCTTTTTTTCTTTTTTTTTCTTTTAGATAAAGCAAAGCATTTGCACTTCCTTAATTGTTCACGAATTAACCAATTAGAATTTGTTATCCAGTATCGCGGATCTCTAGCGTGTGCAATTCGCCATTACTGTATAAATAATTCGTCACGCAACATGAAGGATGCCTAGTGGGCGACGGTCGTATGATTAATGATGTCAACGCGGTTCGTTTTTTCGCGTAGAATCGATCCCGGGAAATCGATGGCACGGGGGACTAGGCCAGGCTTCTGTCTAGAAGCACTCTACGACAAGAAATTTCGCCGGCACGTCAAGCACGGAAGCATGTCGACGTCCACGACGAAGATATGCAAATGCCGGCCATTATGCAAAGATCTCGGATGCGGCACGGTATGCTAAGAAGGCCCCCGTCCGGTTGCTCGGCGATATGAAAATTAATCGATACCCCGTTACGCGCGAGCCTCATTCACGGGCACTTAATATTCCGCAGGATTGAAAGATTGCAGGAGATGACACAGAAATCCTTTGAGTACCTCATTACAAACACAATTCTTGTCGATAGACTATAAATATTCCGTTAATTTCAAAGAAGAGAAACAACATATAAGAGAAACAACAAAAATATTGTTAAAATGTTGTCACAATTCTTATCAATATAAATTAGAGAGAGAAAATTCGAGAAAGAATGAAACTTATTTACAATAAATTATATTATTGCTTTACTAAAGAATAATGAATTAAATAAATTGTTTAAAGATTAGCAATTTTTATATATATTTGTAAAATTCCTACTTTCAATCAATCAATACCTATTCATTTTTAATGTTGTCTATAATTCAGAAATTTCAGAGTATAATACAGAAGTTCTTGCAAAGTATCTTTACAAGGAGCGGTTGAGTATCTCCTTGTAAAAAGAGCTCTCGCATTAATTCATTTTAAAAAGCATCAAATCGGTGAAAAAAAAGACAAATTCAATCTTCAATCTTCAATCTTTAATCTTCAATCGTTAAATTGACTGAAATCTCCCGTTTTTCAACAAAAGACCGTCTCCCTTCCTGAACGAAGAGTAAATCCTGCATTTTCCCCGATGCTCTCCAATCATCAGTCGCTAAAAAATCCCAATATAAAAAAAACAAATCCCCTTCATTCACGGATAAAATAGAAGATCACCGGAATCATCCTTCCTTCTCCGATCGAAAGAAAACTCTGATTAATCGCTAAAACCTCCGGTTCTCCGATAATTCGCGCAGGGCTCGAGCGACGAGGCACCTGGAAGAGATACCTCTTGAACAAGAGTTCGGGTGGCAGCGGCGGTACACCACAACACACCTCCGGCACGTCGACCGACACCGAGCTGACCACCCTCGACACCCACGAACTCTGGCTGCAGGAGAGCGAGCCACCACCTTCGGCCATGTCCGCCCTTCATGCCTTCGGCGCGGAGATGCTCAAGTTGTCGAGGGGTCTCGAGGGGATGACCGGCAGCTCCGGCAATCAAACCTCATCCAAATTGACAACCCAACACCACCAGCATCAGCAGCAGCAGCAGCAGCAGCAGCAGCAGCAGCAGCATGCTGCAACTGCAGCAACACGGTCCTTCACCACGCAGATGCAGCTTCCGCAACGGGTATGGAGATTGCAAGTCAATTATGTATTTGCGAATCATAAATCTTTCTGTAAGCTTACTTTATGATTGCGACGATTGATAAATTTCATGACTCGAATACAATAAAAATATAAGAGATGGAACAATGAGAAGAATATAAATTATAAAAGTCGTATATACGATATATGGCTTCTTTACTTAAAAAATGACACAACTCAAGAAATGGAAGTATCAAATTTTTATCATGAATGAGTGACGTAAATATCTCTATCAATCTTACCAAGAATGAATGAACTTTACTTCATAAAAAAATAGTCGAAACATTACAACTCAAAGAGTAATTTTTAAAAAAGAATCATCAAAATCGTCGTAATTCAGAGTGGTTCTTTAAGGATAGTTTTCTAAAGATTGTGAAATAAAAATAACAAAAATCATATTGATTATGTTAGAAATATATCTTTGCCGAAATGTATGATTAGACAATAATTTTCTATCAAGCTAAAAAATATTTTTTTGTCCTTTATCTGAAAGATTAATGTTTTGAATTTGTGTCACTTTTGAAGTAAAAGAGCAATCTATAAATAAGTAGAAATAAGTAAAATTTTAATTCATCTTATTTCTATTTTAATGTAAAATCCTTCGAACTTTCTTTTTCTTAACTCCTTAGACACTTCTATATATAATTTTCATAAAGTTTTTTCCGTTTTATTTTGTTCTAACTTTTTTTCCGTTTCTTTCCCGTTTCTTTCTGTAATCAAACGTGTATCGTTTTATGCAAACTACTTAGAACACAACGATGTATCCCAGACACAATTTTGTGAGAAAGGAATTTCCGTGCTTGTCTGAGTTTTCGCGGAAGATGCTTTTGCAATTATTAACGACATATCCATCGCATCGTAACCTGCGGGCTCTCAAAACACGCCATTGTGCTTGACGGCGGCACGTTTCCGTGGCAATACGACAGCACGAATTTGCGTCACTTTGTCACTCCGGCTCGCACAACGCCGTGACTACCACGAGATGCGGTTAGCGTTGCGTCAAATCAACTTACGACGGCAACCGGGAGAGTTTCCGGTGAATTTGTGTCATCCAATATACCAAGAACCTACGCATGCAACTATCGTCGAAGAGCTTAAGTGAAGAACGTCTTACTATATTCCATACTCGTGTCTACAATCTAAATTTATGATACTCGACTTTCA